TCGCACATCTCTCTTGTGGAACTCCTTTTCGACTAAATACGTTCCAGCCAACTTTGATCTAATGTAAATGCAATGTCAAGCGCTATCGCCTGTCCTCCTGATTACTTTTTTTTCTCGATTTACTACCTTGCTTGGGGTTAATTCGATTATCAGAACAGTATTTACTAATATCAGTATTATTTACGAAAATATATTAAAATAAGTCTATTTTTAACCTCGACATCTGTTAGAAAAGTAGACGAATCACGATTCCTTTAGGATATAAATGGGAGAGAGAGAATATTTTTCGCTTGGCTACGAATCTATCTGCAGACATTTGTTTCTCGCGGTCGTTGGCACTTGTTAAGTTTAAAATGATCAGTCAAGTATATCAGCCCTTGGCCTACCGCGAAGACACTTGTCGGCGACAAAATTGATTACAGCCAATATTTTATTTTCAGCTACATTGTGCAACCTAACCGCTTTTTTCATGTGGTCGTGTCACTTTCAAGATTTGGATGTTAAGAGCTCTCCACAACTTCCTGTCTCTTATAAGACCTTTTACTTTATCACAGATTTACCTACGATTGTTACAACATAGTCGTTCAGCACCCCTTTAGGTTTTTTTTTCCAAGGAAATTAACTGGTTTCTTTGCATAATTTTGGAAGGCAGCTTTTGGTGTCATCTTCTCGATTCTCTAATAAAAGCAAACTTCAAGCTTTTTAGAAGTTGAAAAACGAAAACATCGTTTACATTCTTTACATTGTTACGATTTTTTATCCACTGGGTCAAAAAAAAAATACTCTTAACAATATACTCATCAAGGACACATGGCTCAGTGGATAAATGCTTTGGTTGAAGTAATCCAGTGACTTGACCGAAAGAGGTGTGAGTTCAATACCTGGCCACAGCAGAGGTGAACAAAAACTTGGATAGTTGAGTTATTGTGATATCTAGAAAAGTCATGGCACGTGGTGGAACATGAGAACAATCTACTCCAGTTCGAAATCCCAATGGATATAACCTGAAGAAGGCTGAGGCGTACAACGACCGAAACGTCAAGAAGACTTACAGTATATCATTTCAGAAATATAGACAAAAAAAAGGCTCATGTATTTTAGAAAAGCTGGACAGAGGCAAATAAATTCCGCTATCCTCACCGAACATCTTATAACCATTAGGAAACGGAATGCTCAAAACCAAATACACTTAATCTCTACTATCCCGTGCTTTGTCCTGAGTTCGATCACTGGGTCAGGCAACTATATTTATTCAACTAAGGGGTGGGGGGAGACAAAAAAACAAACGTTGCAATAAACAACTAGTCCAAGAGAATCAACTGATACGAGAATACTTTCTAGTATGGAAAACAAAATGAAAACTTGTCGATTTATGGCGCTACGTATCCCCTAAAAGAGTGGATCAGGGCACACATGCAAAAGTTAACGGTAAATTATTTAATCAGAGTTTGAAGTTCCTGGTGCTATTTAATGACTAGCAGCAAAAGTCTATAAAGTAGGACCTTCAAAAGAGCCCCTCGCTTGACCAAAAATGAATAAATAAATGAATAAATAAAAACTTTCGGAAACAAGTACCACTTAGCCAGAAGTTAGGAAATTCCGCTCGCAGGTTTATATAAAGTGTTAGAGAACTGAACTGACATATGTCAAGCCCTCTACGTGTGCTAATGTTATGCTGCTGGAACTTGTTTGCCACTACTATCCAGTCTTGAGTTCAATCACTGAGGCAAGCAGCTATATGTAAATCAGGTAAGTAAAAAACAAAAACAAAAAGAAAACCAAAAAACAAACAAACATATTACCTAGTTTCCTCTCAAGGTTTGGTCTTGATATGGACTAAAATATTACTATTGATTATTAGGAATTGCTTTTTTCTTCTTCTTTTTCTTCTATGTCACATATCTTTTCAGTACGTTGGAGATCATGGCTCTCCACACTTTCTTATGCTTTGTAGCTCTTTATAAATTCTGTCACTTCTAAACGTTGTTCTGTCATCCATTTACAGAAACTTGCTGGGTAGATTACAAGACAGATTTCCTCTATTTCTTTTTCAATCTGTCCTGCTAGTATCAAATCTTCCAATTTCTCTTTCTTTATTATGGCAATTTTCTAAGCGTAGCTTAGACGTGGCACAAAGTATAGAACACCCAGTACGGATCGAACTCACTATCTAGTCGTAGTTGATCTAGCGAGATAAGTTTGCTAACCATTACACTACGTCGAAGTGTGAAAATGATTTTCCAAGCGTAGCCTGAATGTGGCACAAGGTCGTAAGTGTGAAGCCCCTGGTGAGGATCAAACTGACTACTCAGTCGCAATTGATCTAACAAGGCAGGCTTGATAACAATTATACCACGTTGAATTATACTCTTTCTTTCTGATAGTAAGTGTGAGGTTTCCTTTTTGTTTCTATTTTCTCGATAACTTCGACATGTTCGGTCGATGGGATTCTCATTTTTATTTTTCAAATAGTCATTCGTTTCAGTTGCTTCCTTTACAATCGATAGTTAAAATGAGACTCAAGACATTTCTGGGCAACAATATGAAACACAAGACGAAAGAAAGTAACAAACATACATTTATACATTCAGATAAAACGGATTTTGAATCAAGTCTCTAAGAAGATTAACGTCTTTTTATTTAAACTCTGTTACATGTATTAACTGTTATCTTTATTAAGCAATTTTTATTTGAAGCTCTTTAAGCTGCATTCATCTCCTTAATTATCTGAATTAATTTTATAAACCAAAATTTATTGATCTGTGGCAGATTCTTTAAAATACATTCTTTTGAAGAAATATGTTTCCTGTACTTATTTATTTATTGGTGGCAACTAAGATTTTACAAGAAAAATAACTGAATTCAAATTGTAATCCTAAATGATATGTATGATTAGATTTTACTTATATATGTGAACAGGGCCGGTACAAGGCTTTTGTGCCTCACCCTAGCATATATGTTACAACCCCCCACTCTACTAAAATTTTTATCAGGTATTATTCATATATAATGCAAATTATAGCTATATATTCTAACCTAATTATGTACAATAATGGATTATGTTCAATAAAGGTGAACAGTTCAAGTAGAAAAATTGCAAATAAATCAAATGTATCTAAATGCAAATAAATGCCATAACAGATCATTTCATCTTCAACAGTATTCTGCGTTAATTTCTAACACCAACTTAAGATTTTTCTTGTTAAAAAGTTGCATAATGTGAACATATCTAACATTATGAATAAAAAAAATAGTGAATTTTATATGTGATATTTTTTTCGGGACTTAACATGATTCCCGGATTTGGACGAAAAAGAAAGCATCCAGAATCGACGTAAAAATCCACGAAAAGGTTTCATCCTTTAATGAAAATTCATTTGTGCTCAGTTTAATTTGTAACATATATAAATATAAATATAAAAAAAATCCAATTTTAGTAACGGAACGACAACAATAAAACAAAATAGAAAATATCATTTATCTGCATAAATTATGTTGTTAAGATGAATGTATTCGATAATAAATCCCGGTAGGTCTTCTGGTTCTTTTAGGATCGTCTCGTTGTATCCGTTAAATAAATCCTCTGAGAGGACGTATGCTTTTTTTCTTACCCACTCATTCTATTTTTATGTATGCGTTAAACGTGTTTCCTTTCCGTAAAGTGGCTTATTATTATGAATAATGTCTTTTCTTTATCATCAACTAACAGCCAATAATTTTAAAGCTTTGCCTTCTTGGTGTGTCAGAAAAAAAAAGCGATGGGATCCAGAACATTCCATCAATGTAAACTTATACAAGTTCCAACCCTCGTAAAAATAAGAACTGACGTCAGATCGTGGAAGTGCGTGCATACACGAGCCACTTGACATAAATAAAAATATGAGTTACCTGCAAATCGTAAGGCTTATACCACCGTTATCGTTGCTTTTTGCTTTGTTTGTTTTGTGGCATATCAACTTCAATGAATTGATAGGCCAACGGTATCTTGTAGGTATTAAAATGATTTTCCAAGCGTAGCTTAGATGTGGTACAAGGCCGAAAGCATGACGCACTTAGTGATTATTAAGTAAATACCGACAAAATTTTTATTGATGGTAATGTTTTTTCAAAAATGTAATAATATTTTTTTTCTCAAAAATCTATTGCTGGTAAAAAAATTTCCAAAAAAGTATTGCTGGTATTAAAACCTATTTTTATACTTGTTTTAACCTCTTTTGATGGGAGCTAACTATTTTCTCATAAGGTCCCTGACAGGTGCTACCACCTCGGGCCATGGTGGTAGCACCTGTCAACAATTAAGAGGTGGTTCCAGGCGCCTCAGAACCTTCTGATCAAAGGACGCGTAATATACTCGAATATATTGCGAGTTTTTTTTTTATGTCTAGATTTTTAAAGCAAAAAATAAGAGGTAAACCAAGAGTGGGGGTGTACAACCACCGGGCCGCGGACCGGTACGGGTCGGTGGGTCATTTATTACCGGGCCGTAAAGGAATTATTAACTTATTTAAAATTATATCATAGTTAAATAAATTGAATATTGGACTTTAATTTAAAGATTTGTTTAAAAATTAAAATTCATCTACTCAATACTATCATAACACTAAGTACATTTTAAAATTAATGTTTTGATTTATTTGTAATAATTTTCAACTAATTTTCTAATCGTCCATTGATTCTACATTATGCTGAGTTGATATTGATGTGATAATAGTGTTTAAAGATTGATTCAGGGAAACTAAACACGCAAGGGTGTGGTCAGTGCAAGGGTGTGGTCAATGCAAGGGTGTGGCCAGTGCAAGGGTGTGGCCAGTGCAAGGGTGTGGCCAGTGCAAGGGTGTGGTCAGTGCAAGGGTGTGGCCAGTGCAAGGGTGTGGTCAGTGCAAGGGTGTGGTCGGGCTGAAGACCAGACTTAAGAGACAAAAGATTGTATACTTTTCATCCCTTTAATAAATTGCTTTTTTCTTTTTTCTTTTATTATTGCTCTCTTTATCGAAATGCACTTAAATTATAGATATGTGCCACTACCGGTCCGCGGAAAGATTGTACGGTATGAAGTCGGTCTGCGGAAACATTGTAGGGCATGAAGCCGGTCCGTCGTATAAAAAAAAACAAACTAGGAAACTAAGTTCCAGCCTTCGTAAAAGTAATCACTGATATCAGATCTTAGAAATGCGTGCATGATAGAGTCCCAAGTAAAGCATATGAGTTGCCTTAATATTGAAGGCCTGATATCATCATTTATCGTTTTATTTTACTGATAGTTTACGGAATACAATATCTAAGAGCCAGTCAAGGTAGAGTGTTTATTATAAGGGATGGAGAAATAAAAGTATTTGAAAGGTAGATATCGGCTGATCCTGCATTTAAAGTAACCAAGATTGCGTTTACCAAGGAAGAATTTTCTCGGGAATTCGTTCTACAAAGTAACAGTTCTAAGGAAGAAGCAGTCTGGGTGGAGTTTCGCTGGTAATTCAACGTTGTAAGGTAGCGTTTCTAAAATGGTTCACTCGATCGTTCTGAAAGGTAGCCAAGTTTTTATGCCACGCCTTCTTGGCGGGTCATAAAATAAAACGATATGTACTTGATGCTATAGAACATTCCATCAATGTAAACTGATACAAGTTTCAACCCACTTAAAAATAAGATGTCAGATCTTAGACGTGAGTGCATGTATAAGAACCACTTGAAACAAACACATATATGAGTTATCTGAATAGCGAAGTGCTGATATATCATCGTTTATCATTGTGCTGCCAATTCATCGTCGAAATCCAAGTACTTAAATGTCTATGTGATAAAAAATATTAGAAAGAACATTTTCTAAAAAAAATCAATACTGTTAAACAATTTTTTGGTATTTGCCGCCTACAGACTTCCTTACACGGGACGGAGGCGAACTGCCTCGCGGTTAATCATTCTTGTTCTACTATGTCTGGGACAATGGCGATCATATCGCTTCCCAATTTTCTGTCCTTTGTAGCTCTTAATAAATTTTATCACTTTGTTATATTTCCTAAAGGCTGTTCTGCCATCTATTTGCTCAAGCTCTCAAGGTAGATTATTAATTTATCTCCACTATCACTCTTGCCTTCAATCTATCCTGTGACTATCAAATAGTCCAAGTCCTCTTTCGTGTTGCATTTTCCAAGTCCTCTTTCGTGTTGCATTTTCTAAGTCCTCTTTCATGTTGCATTTTCCAAAACCTTCTTTCATGTTTCATGTTGCCCTTTTCCAATACCTTTACAAGCCCTCTTTAGAATTTTACAATCCCTTTTTCATGTAGCATTTTACAATACCTCTTTTCATGTTGCATTTTCCAAGCCCATTTTTCATGTAGCATTTTACAATCCCTCTTTTCATGTTGCATTTTCCAAGCCTTCATTTCATGTAGCATTTTACAATCCCTCTTTTCATGTTGCATTTTCCAAAACCTTCTTTCATGTTGCATTTTCCAATACCTTCCTTTCATGTAGAATTGTACAAGCCCATTTTTCATGTAGCATTTTACAAGCCCTCTTTTCTTGTAGCATTTTAAACGCCCACTTTTCATGTTGAATTTTCCATCTTTTATGTTGAATTTTCAAAGTCCTCTTTCATGTTTGTTTTTCCAAAAGCTTCTTTCATGTTGCATTTGCCAAAACCTTCTTTCACGTTGCATTTTCTAAGCCCTCTTCTCTTTTCATGTATTTTAAATGATAACTTGAAGTCAACAGTACAAAAGCTGAACAAACCAACAAACAACTTGTCAGAGTTTGAAACAAGCCACTGAGCCATGGCAAATCACTGGACATTGTAAAGATTACTATATACATGAAACATCTATTGTCATTAATACCTGTTGTGGGTAGGTGGTTTTCTTTTCGATATGTGATGTATGTAAGCTTGCCACAAATACGTCTGTTTACAATCAGTAATATCAATAAATTTCGCTTGAATACATTGGCTGGCAAATGACTGTCTGAAGCGAAGATGGACACGGCTACAGGATTAAATCTTGAATAGTGCAAACACAGAATATTTTATGATTGGATCAATGCTGACTTAGGGAATTTGATCTGCGAATCGGAGCTCAGCCAGAGAGAAATAACGGATACTTGATTTCGGCATCGATTTCCGCTTTTTGATCTCCCGTGACCCCAGGACATACGGGTTGCCTAATAGTTATTGGCTCCGATAGAGAAAAACCGACAAGAAGAGTTTGAATTTCGGCCGCGTTGTTTATGTTATTCTTTCGCCACAATAACCTGTGAGGTGGTGGGGGGATGAATCGATCTCCCCCCCCCCTCATCGCCTAGCTATGAGTTAAATAGAAGACTGGACTTTCTAGCCGTGGCTGGCAACTATTCTAGTTGAAAGAAAACACTAAATTGAAAACGGGCGAGGTGCATACTTATACAGCTATTTAAGATATTTTTCACATTTAACTGTGGTGCTGGATTATGGTCTATGGATTATGGGGTCTATGATCTTATAATCTATGGATTATGGATTATTTCCACAATCTATAGATTATGTGGTCTATGATCTTGGCTGAGGTCGAATAAAAATTAGTAGATTCATTTCGAATTCAATTGATTTAGTAATCTGCTTAATTTATGTAAAGTAAATACGATTTTAATTACTCCATTTTTTAACATCATTATATCCTTTCAGAACGTAGCCGTTCATGACTCTCCACATGTTCTTTTATTATATATAAATTACTATGGCTTCTGGAGAAAGAAGGTTTACCATTGTATTATACACAGTTTCAAATTCATAGTAGGATTGGCTTATCCTGCTATTTAATCCACATCAAAAGGGAGGTATCTTTTTTCGTACCTTTCTCAAGGGGATTAGCAAGAAAGTAAACGAAACAGACTAAGCTGGGATTTAGCTCGACTGTTTCATTCCTCATAAACACGTCAAATTCAGTCAGTTATAGGCCACAAGTGATAAATACTTGGACGATCTTGTCTCTATCGATTCATGACTGACTAGGCAGAAGATTCAACAGGAGTAGGTTGCCGCTACTTTCTGTGGTAGACTGGTTGCTCACCAAGGTTATAGGACCCATTTTCTTCTGCTATTCATCCCTTAGCTGGGGGAGAAGAGTTGGATTCGTATCTTTATCTTTGCCTAGGAGTAGGATCTCTGACTCGGTCAGGTTTCAATCCCGGCTTGAAACAACCGGAAGTCTAGCAGCACTGATGAGCTGTGATGACAATATATATATATATATATATATATATATATATATATATATATATATATATATATATATATATATATATATAATCGACGCTCCCGTCGAGATTCGACGTATGAGGGTCAAGCAGATCAGTTTCCAGGAAACCGACAGCCCGACACCGGCACATGAGATTAGATTATAGTGGTGAAGGCCTCGTGTAGGACCATCCACACTTTTTGAAGGGACGAATACAGAGACCCGGTGCACCGAATGCCACAAGGTCCCCAAACGACCCTCCGCAGGTTTTGAATTTAGAGTTGAATTTAGACCAGTTGCCATCCAAGGCTATAGAACCCAGTCTGTCCTTCTATTTTACCCATAGCTGGAGGGAGAGGAAGAGGATCCATACCTTTCCCAAGGGTATTAGCACGTAAGTGAATGTAATGGATTCTACTGGAATTCAAACTCGGCTCTGCAATTCCTCAATCCACCGTGCCTCCTTTTCTATCTATCTATCTATCTATCTATCTATCTATCTATCTATATATATATATATATATATATATATATATATATATATATGCATTTGGGCTATGACTTTTTGAATTTTATGTATATAATAACAGAATTATAATTTTTTATTAATAATAGATATACATATATTTACTTTTTGCCTTTGAGTTTTATGCACAACCCAACGTTGAGGTGCTGATTGGAAACTGACTCAATTCAATCAGCACATGTCGATTTCATTGTACTTGAAATTCTTCTACCAGTAAAGGAAAATATATATTTAAGACTCATAAACACTAACGTACCCCCCACCACTGATACAAGTAAAAAGTGTGGTAAATTGGATACTATACCTAATTTAATACAACCATTGTGATTGTTAGAAACAATTCTTCTCCGTCAAGTAGAATCTTACGAAAGACCAACATTGTATATCAATTTAGATGTCCTTTTGTAGATTGCATCAATGATAGAAATTTTAATACGTACGCTGGTTTTACAACGACGATTCTGTCGAGAAGGCTTATATTTCACTTGGATTAGCATAGTTCATTCTTACAGCATCTGAAGGAACACTTATGTCAACATTCACAGCTTCGACAGATATTAGTTGAAAATACATCTATATTTCAGCAAAATAATAATAAGCAAAAACTTAAAATACTACAAGCCCTTTATATAAAAGAATTAAAAACACACACACACACACACACACACACACACACACACACACACACACACACACACACACACACACACGCACGTTTTCGAACATAAACGAGATATTCGCCTCGGAAATTTAAACAATTCTATAGTTGTACACACAACTAAAGCAGATCATAATTTCGATTTTGATTCCGTGAGGATTTTAAAATATTTTCATAATGAAAATCTTAGGCGGATTTACGAAGCAGGCATAATATCTATCTCACGCACGGTGAACACTAGACCTGGTTTCTTTAGTATTTCCCCTTTTCTAGCGAGATTAATGCTCGACAAGCGTACATATAAATTTTAGATCAAAATAGAATTCTTTTCATTTTTCATTCAAAATACTCAAATTTTAGAAATACGTTTTCACAGCGTCGCCCACGTGATGACAACGTGACCATGTTTTAAACGGAGCGCTGATCTTATAAAACTTTCAGTTATCTGTTTGGATAAGTCTTGTTTTTATGTACATCGTCTTTGTCATGTTGTATTGATAATGTTATAATTTATGAATATGTCCTGAAGATGGTTTATTAGACCGACACGTCCGACGTTGACATATTAACATTAAAACAGCATAATTGTATATAAGGATTTTTTTTTTTTTCCGTATTTTTTCTTCATATATATATATTTATTATATATATATATATATATATATATATATATATATATATTAAGGCCATGA